CCACTACGGCACCGAATGGTGAGAGACTTCGAATGCGCCCAAAAAGAGATTAACCAATGCCGACTCTTTCATTCCTTTATTTTCCCTTTTACATGAAAAGAAACAGCATAGGCGTGATCTTTTATGTCATCGATTAGGCGAGTGTATGGGGTAGGGTGCAAGCTGAAGCTTGTGAGACTCGTATAAAATTGCTTGGTCTACTCATCTAAAAATCCTACAGTGAAAATTAAGTATACAAAAAACACGGAATCGACATTCTATTCTAGTTCGATTATCGATTAGCAGTTTCCTCTTTTTGCAGACCGCTGTGGCTCGGCGACGGCTTCGTTCGCATTCCGAAACGTCCAGTACTCTCATCCGCGGTGGTGAGTCCTAGTTCAGCCGAGCAGAACATCGAGGTAGGATGCGCGTAACATAAATGCTCCCTTCAGAAGGCTGAATTATCTTCCAGAATACGTGATTCTTATCTGAATCTTTCTTAAACCTTTTATTCCCTACCACATGTGTTGCAATATGTTCGATGCCTCGTCCTATTTGTGTAGGCCTTTCACGGCGCTTCTTCATCCCAGAGATCCTATCTTTTATTTCCCATTTATTATGGAATCAGAAAAAGAATGTCAGAAAAGCATTCAATCATGAAAGAATTTCGAAACGGAACACCCAACCCGTTCCGAAAGACCAATTACTTGCAATTAACCAATTATTGACGAGCTGTTGAGTGAGTGGCTGCTTTGGTGGTCAACTCTACTGTCCCCTTGGTTTTGCCGGTATAGGTAGATTGTAGGAGAACTCTTGCTCTGCTTGTAGGAGAACAATGTTATTAAGGTTGGAAAGAAAGTTCTGCAACACTCTTTCTAAAATTTTCTTTTTTTTTCTGAAAAATTCATAGGTAACATTTATGACTAACAAATGGTAGAGCATTCTCGAGGCTTCAATCCACGAGGTGGATATAAGTGCTGCAGTCAGTAGTTATCCAAGAAAATTCAAAAAACCTCGACCACTAGTAAATCCGTACTCCGAGTCACTGTCTACAAAACTATGGATTCGTGTCAACGACTGACACTATCTGCAATAGCTTCAATAGGCATGCCGTTCAGCGCTACACAGTGTCGTATAACTTCGTATTCCGTTGCCCGTAATGTCGCCCGTTCCCTCTCCCCCGGTATTCCCGGTTCGTTACTTCATGAGCCGTCGCCTTCACGGCATCCCCGCGCGTCCCTCTCCCGCTATCTATTACTGGCGTTATCGGCTAGCCCCGCTCTCAATCCAACGCGGGGAGCCTAAAGCAGCGTCTATACAAGCTTCAGAGTGCCTTACGCAGGAAGGGATCTTACGGAAACTCCGTCAAAGTTTACAGATTCTTCTTTATGCGCACCATTGTGTACTAGGTAGAGGTCTAGGCTGCGGAACTTCCAGAAGCTGGCCGAGGCAGCTCGTCAGGAGCCCTCGTACCGCGACAATATTCATTTCTTTCATGACATTGCGAATCACCATGATCCGAAATGAGCCCGGTAAGAAATTCTGGAGCTGCGGCAAGATTTCTTACCTCTCTGAGCGTATTCCCCTGGTCGAGCTATAAATGACTGCCTACCTATCCTGGACCTTAAATCATCATCTTGATGACGAAATAATTAGGGACGACCTCAACTCCACTC